ATCATGATATTCTTTCATATTCTTTATTTCAAATTCACGCCAGACTTTCTGTGCGTGTTCGTAATCGGAATCTGAAATATGTTTGTTATTTAATTTACTGTAAAATTCTTCTTTAGGCGGCAAGCATTCATCTTTTAGCTTATCTTCTGAATCAAAATAATCATAAGGGAATACGCCTTTTCTTACTAATAATTCAATATCATCATAAGCCCATTTCATATTTTTGAAATTCTCAGGTTTTAGATTTCCAACGAGCTTGTCAAGCCCAGCCGCCATGAATTTAAAAGAATCGATAAATCTTATTTCTCTTTTAATTTCAAATGTTTTACCGTCTTTTTCGAACTCACCTATTTTTATTACTTTATTGAATGAGATATATTTCTCTTCGTTATTCGGAATGCAGTTTATAGGTCCATCAGAGACTCCGAGATTTTTTATGAATAGATGTGCGTCGTAACCAGCGAGATTATGGAATATAACTGGGATATGTTTTGGAATTCTATAATTAAGATTACAGATATTATGAGCCGCACCTCTATATTTGCCGGTTAAATGACAGTGATCCAAAACTTTATCTTCATTCAGCTCACCCTCACAAATGTGGCAGTATTTTGAATTTTTATAATTTTCCTTATCTGCGGTTGTCACTTTAACTTTTTTATACCAAATATTTGAATATAGTTTTCTAACTGTTTTTTCGATTGAATTTACGAATTTTTGCCCGACGTCTTCATCTTCTTTACAAGTATAGGAAATCATTTTTGGCTCATAGATGTCATTCACGGTTTTTAGATAATAGCAGAACCCCGATGGTTTATGATATTGAAACTTCTCTGTATACGAGTTAGTCGGATCGGGCTGGCATGATGCTAATCTTTTAGTGAAACATTCGAAGTCAGCGTATATTACGAATGGAACCCTCATGGAATGATTATAATTTTTGAATTTAATAATTGTTCCTTTTTTAGGAAGACTCATTTTGATAGCATCTTCGTTTTTACAATACTCTGTGTGCTTATCAAGAGATTCTTGAGATTTGAATGAATTTAGACATCTCTCACAAATGAATCTATAATGTTGATGATTATCAACCTGTCTGCTTACGAGCCTAGACATGTTTCTTATCCAGCAATAGTGGTTTTTACTTCCTTCAGAAATCATCATTAAGTTTATTATTTTATTTTCACTATTACTTATTCTCAGCGGATAGACTTCGCCGTTATATCCGAATACGTTGATACCATAGGGATTATTATTCTCAAATGTTGAAATATCTTCCATCTCTACAGGAAATACTAAGCCGTTCCAGTTAAGATTTTTTGAATCTTCCTTTAATTTTTTATCAACACGCTCTAAGTTAATTTTATCTGATGGATATATGTTTCTAATGTTTTAAGTAGTTTGCAATACCAGCAATCTCCAATTTTTTTTCAACAAATTTTAAAAACTAAATGTTTTACATATAATGCAAAGCATTCATTTGATGGATATCTTCATGTGACCAATTATTTGAATCAGTGTTTCAATGAGTAACAACATACATCAACAAAAATAACTAATCAGTGACGCATCATGTATTGTAATTTTTGGAATAACACATTGAAATGTGCTAGCAATGTGACTGTGTAAATTTAAGGGTTTTTTGGTATTACTCAACTATACAGGAAAATACCTTTTAGTTCAGGGAAGTCAAAAAGCTCATTTGGGATTCCATTTGGCCTATCTGTGCGTTTCTGTAGCCTTATTTTATGCCCATTCCAGTCTTCTTTAATATTCACTAACTCTTCTTCAAGTATGGGCATATAAACATACAGTAAGGAAAGCCTGAAAGGTAAAATGTTGAATGTTGATGTTTCTATCACACCAAAAAAAAAAAGACTTTACACACACACCTAAACTGAATCTGTCACTTTCCTATCACAAAATCACTTATTCTACTGGTCACTAAAGATGAACATTTGAAACATACTTACTCATGTATAATGTTATTTGCATTCCATTTACCATCACGTTCAAGTCCCTGATAATGGGAATACAAAAACAATTTTTATAAGAATGAATGCAACGCATTAATTTATGAATAACATCAGGTTTTGTATCAATAACATTTTATAACATGCTTCAACAATATTATATTTCTTTTCATATTTTTAAGTATCAGTGCTATATTTACCTTGAAATGTTCTATCCAGTACTGGATTCCTCCTTCTCTATATTGGTGCCAGAAGGCTTCAATTGGCTGTGTTAATATTAAT